TACCGGCGGTAGAATTCGGTTTAGTCGTACAAAAAGGAGGTAGATTTTTATTTCGGGATTACATGCAGTAATCACACTGAATCAGTTGATGATTTGATATTTGATGATTTGATATTGGCCTTGACCTGATACAACTGAATCAGTTGATGATTTGATATTTTTATATCTTGTTATGTGATGTCGATTATAAGACACTGGGCGTAAAAAATTAACGAAACTATCAAACGCCCAACGTTTATAAAATAATCTATCCTTATTTTATTTATTGGTACATTCCCATACATATAGCATAACTGTATCTGATTGTATGGTCACAGGTATTATGTCGACACAACCCATCTATGCTTGCTCAGATTTCCTGAATGTATTTAGTTATTCAAGTACATATTACTATACACACCTTAATAAACCGTTGTATATACCTCTCTCTATCTACGCAAAATGTTAATATAACCAGTATCCAACCATCAGATACACCTGTCAGTATGTGTAAAGTGATCTATATTTAAAATGCATGGTTTGCATTCACCAATAGTTTTATATTGCACTGATAATGTTTGTACAGTCCACAATACATGCATGTAAGTTGAAGTTTGATGGTAGTTTACTGGACCAAATATGAACAAACTGCGAATTTGAGAGTTCAATCTGATTTGATTCAGAAAATCACACTAAATTATATGACTGTGTTCAATTTGTTTACTAAAAGGGAGTAAAAGTGACCACAAACAAACCCCAAAAAGAATTTTAAAGAATTGTGTTTTGGTATTCCAAGTATTTCCCCAATAAGCTAGATCTGTCTACATGTGTACTGTGTCTGTAGTTATTTTAATAGTAAAAATTATCATGCGTTTATATGGACAAACCCTGTTGCTGAGATCTTGTTCATTTCTCATATAAACACAAATTAAATTCGTTCCATTGATCGGGCATATAAAAAGCCCCTTGTCGACAAAGAATTGCTGTTATTTAAAAGATGCATGGCTTCAACAGATGACAAACATGTAGACTTCATTTCACAAACTGTCGTGAAGTTAGTCATCCAAGAAATTAGTAAATCATGCACAATGTACAACCTATATGATTTATCACAGCGAAGATTCGCTCATATTAGTTTGTGCTATATTTGATTGGTGAAATTGGTATAATTTATAACAGAGCAAAGTTGTCAGTGTTTTCGAACTTGGAAGGTACTAAGCTAGGGGATTTTGTACTTCCTGTTGTTGAGCATTCTTTAGGAACATATTATATTATTGTGTCATATAGTTAATTTCTTGCATCAATTCACAACACTTTAAGTTGAAGTGACCTGTTTATATTTAGGAATTAAAGTTCGATCCTGCGTGCATTACCGAATATGATTTAAAGTCGTTTTGGCGTTGGTAAGTGACATATTAGCCTATACGTAAGTCATTACACATACTGCAAAACAACTGTGCGGCCAAGGTTGTAGGTTCGATTCCCACCGTGGCCAGGCATATTTTTCAAGCTTGCCCGGTGTGGATATACACTCAAAGTAGCATCACAAACATCATATTCACCTGAGTACACAGCACCAACACAGAAAAAAAGTGTTTACATGCGAAATTCACATGGGCGTACATGGCAGGGGGGGGGGCGTAGGGAGCGGCACAGTTTGTCCCCCAGTTTGTTGGGCAAACAAAGCCAGTCGGGCAATATTCGCTTCACTGTCGGGCAATATTGGCTTATGATAAAAATAAATGGGACAAACTCTGTCAATTTTGTGGGAAATTGTGTCAATTTTTTTGGAAATATGCTACATAATAGGAATTTTTCGCAATCACTCCTCCCGTCAGAAACAACAATTTTGGAAAGTTTGTCCGGAAAATTTTTTTGACAACGCGGGCACAATCCGAAAAGGTCGGGCAAATTTTTTTCCGCTCCCCTAACTTTTTCCTTCCCGTACGCCCATGGTTTAAATTTATATATCTAATCATACAGGTACCGATAGATAATTTTTATTTTTGGATTATATGTACAGTATGTCTCATTGCAATCTCGTTCCCAGAGTATGCCTGTTCGCGGGTTATGTAGTGGCATGACTCTGGGGAAATCGAATCGAAATGCTGCTGCGTCATCTGATGTTGCCGACACATTAATGCGTGTTTTTTTGCGAGAATTACGCGTGGACATGCATACGCGAAGAGAGAACTATCAATGTTTATCAGATTTGGAATGCAAAATCAAACAATATAAATCGAAGGATATAATAATATTAATCGTATGAACAAGTATTGGGACGTTGGGTATAGTATATACTTACAAAATGGCATAGTATTTATGAATGACTTTTTATCGATCTACAGTATGAGTATATTGACATATTTGTATGTGGAAACGACGGCGTACAAGTTTCGTATTTATGCCATGATAACCATGAAAGAATTGGCTAAATTAAATGATCGCACACGTTGTCGTTGTTTTGTTAAATTGATATATTGTTGCCAGGACTTTGGAGTGACAGCTTTTGCCTGTGCTACTGAAGCTTTAAACAATACAGTACACTAGATCTCCCGTTTCATGTTCACTTGACATATATGTACTAAGAGGTCACTTAATTAACTACACATCAATTATGGTCAACATGTTTTAGCCCGTGGTCTTTGCGCTTTTGTAAAAGGAGTTATCTATAAAATAATTTAAGATGCGAGGTGTTTTTGTAGCATCTGTATAAATCATAGAATAATTAATTTAAGAAGTTCCTCAGGTTGTAAAACATTTGCCGATTTTGTTATAGACTTGCTTTGTAAATGATTGCCACTTGACAGCATGATGTAAGGCTGTAACTAAGCCAGACCTGAAATAATTTTTGCATCAAGGTAGCAGTTTAAATAATGAAACATTTGTGTCTGGATAAAAAATAAGAGTGAATTTAAACACAGATGTTTCCTTGTCTGTTGCTATGTGAAACAATGTCAATGTTCTTTATAGCAATAAGAGTCATTGTGATCAATACAAGGCTTATTTGCTAAAAATATACAAGCATTAAACCCATTTCCAAACTATTATTCTATGTGAATATATTGGCAATTATATATAAAAGGAGATACAATAGGATTGAAATAGCTACCAGTTTCAATCAAATAATTACTTTAATTTCTATATCAAGCCTCCTGGGTGTTATTTTTTCCCAAGCATCATTGAGGGGACACTTGTTGTAAATATATGCAATAAGTCTGGTTACCATTAAAAAATGTCCATATTCAGAGTTACCGTTGTACTATATTTTATTAAAATACTGCAGAAATGCAATATAATTCATGATTTTAAGAATTAATCGAATGGGGGCTGCATGGCTGAAAGAGGGTGTGGGCTTATTTATTTTTTATTTTTGTATCCAAGAGGGAGGGGGGATTGGAGAGGGACTTAAAAGAGAGGGGTGGGCTAAATATAGAAATTACAGTACCCCCTCCACTTAAAAGAGAGGTGTGGGCTAAATATAGAAATTACAGTACCTAGGGAGTAACTGCAGGCGTTAAAGCATGGATTGCAAGGTTGATGTATTGCATGTTATGTACCTGGTAATATATATGGAGTAATGAGCTAGTAAATATATCATTGCCTGTAATTAGTTGACGATTAAATGTTCAAAGATACACAGTGTGAAGAATGAAAAACAAATGGGAGATATCCACTGCAACAAACTTTCAACAAATATATATGGCCTTGTTCACTTCATTTCTTACTTTCGACACAAGTAATTATAATTACAAACACAATGTACTCTTATTTAAACTTTAAAGACTTTATATGTGCTCCATGTATATATGTTAATGTAATGTAATATAAAAAATAATGTGGTTATAATATTGTTAAAATATGTGATATATAATACTGTACAGCTCTGACTATAAGCCCTGTGCTTATATATTCTTTTGTAGGTGATTTTTGATGGGCTTATACAAGGGGGGATTATATACGGGGGCCTTACACATGGACGATCTTTGTGTTAGTACTAAACAATTGCAAGTCAGTCATAATCAGGATAATAAACATGTATAATTAATAACACGCTTGGATTAACATACAGGGTGTATCAACAAAAGTAAGACAATTTTGAAATTGCTCTCAATTCCACAATTCTGTTCATGAAATGTAATTTTTGCTATATATGGATTGCTTGAGTTCTTAAATTATGGAAAATATAAAAAATTTTGAAAATAGTAAATTTTGCTATCCAGGTGGGTGGTCAACTTTTGCTCCCCTAAAAGTGGCTTGCGCACGGAAATGACAAACGGTATTCTTTATTTGAATTCATGTATGAAAAGTTCGCTATTTGTTGCCGATTTATGATAAAATTTCGGCAGGATTTTACCGAGAACAAATCCACCGAAAAGCCTATGAAAACGTTACATTTTTCTCCGTTGGTGCTGTTCTTGCTTCATTATGAATTCATTTTTACTCCCATGAGAGTTCCATGGAATTTCCATGGAATTTGTGCTTTCGGGTTGTTTGTGCTGAAACGCATTTTCTCGTATAATACCCCGTACACTTTGAAATGGCGATGCCACAATTTACCCCGCAGCAGAGAGCTTTTATGGTATCAGAGTTCCTCCGTAGCAACAACATAAACTTGGTTCGCCAAAGTTTCACGAAAGAATATCCAGATGTACGATGCCCTTCACGTGT